AAGTAATTATAGACTCTTCTTGATGTCTCCTCCCCCAAACCTATGCACATGATTTGATAGTATAATAAACGAGATTGTAGCTTCTTTTTCTTCTTTAATACTCTCCAACACTATTTGGTCCTTATCAAACATACCACTAGAGTGGCATGTTTTTGTTTATAGAGTAGACCTTAGTATTTGCATGTTCTGTTTCCCTGCAAGTTATTTGGTTTCCACGTTTTGCAAAATTATGGTTAGTTCATTTCTATTGCTTTTTCTGGACCAGGTAAATCCTTCAAATCTTTCTCAATATTCAGAAAACTTACTTCTGCCTCAAAGTGTAGAACCCCCGAAAGTTCACTCTCAAAACGGTACACTTTTTCAGCAGATTCATCTCTCTAATTCATCTGCCAAGGACACCCACGACACCTCACCTGAACCAGCGTCTTTCGGTACAATTGGCACGATGGAGCATTCTCCACCATTTGATGAACCACAAGAGGATGATGCTGATCAAAGAAGCAACAGTGATCCCAATTTTGGCAGTGGTCCAGCCGAAGACGGTTATAATTGGAGAAAATATGGGCAGAAACAAGTAAAAGGTAGTGAATATCCTCGGAGTTACTACAAATGCACAGATCCAAATTGTCCCGTCAAGAAGAAAGTGGAACGCTCTCCCGAGGGTCACATTACGGAGATAATCTACAAGGGAGCCCATAATCACCCAAAACCTCTACCCAGTCGCAGATCAGCTGTTGGATCCTTGAATGCACTTGGCGATGTTCAGCTTGACGCAACTGAGCAACCAGGAACTGGTGCTAATGGTGATGCTCTCTGGTCAAACGTGCAAAACGGAACCCCGGATTGGAGATGGGAAAATCCGGATTCAACGCCATCAGCAGCTTTGGGCCAAGAATATGGCAACGGAACTACCTCTTTTCAGGGTCAAATAAGCACACAGTTTGAGTCTGGTGATGCTGTGCAAGGGTCTTCTACTTTCTCGAATGATGAAGAGGAAGATGACCGAGTAACACATGGCAGTGTATCATTGGGTGATGACGGTGAAGGAGATGAATTAGAGTCAAAACGAAGGTTTATACTTCTGTTTAAATGATTTATTAGACATCAATATGAATATAGCTTGACAACATTTTGACTTTCTTTGTGATAGGAAAATTGAAACTTACCCTTCAGATATGAGTGGGGCTACTAGAGCCATCCGGGAGCCTAGAGTCGTAGTGCAAACAACCAGTGAGGTTGACATCCTTGATGATGGGTATCGTTGGCGCAAATATGGGCAGAAAGTCGTGAAAGGAAATCCAAATCCAAGGTAAGCGAATTGTAACATGCGAACTTGTACAAAAACGTTATTTCCCAAATCTGTAAACTATTGTTAAGTTGTTATGAATCGGGATTTTTTGGTATTGTTGATGCAGGAGTTACTATAAGTGCACAAGTGCAGGCTGCACTGTCAGGAAGCACGTCGAGAGGGCTTCACATGACCTGAAATCGGTGATAACAACATATGAGGGAAAACACAACCATGATGTTCCTGCACCTCGAAACAGCAGTCATGTTAATTCCGGAGCTTCAAACACCCATCAGAACCAAGCTCCGACTGCTTCTCAGAGTCAAATACGCAGGCCTGAGCCGGCTCGACTTCATAGCAGCCTGGGACGGTTTGAAAGACCTTCACTTGGCTCATTTGGCCAGCCTGGGAGGCCACAGCTTGGATCTAATCCAAACTTCGGATTTGGAATGAATCAGCCCGGGCTGGCCAATCTGGCAATGGCAGGATTCGGGCCTAACCAAGGCAGGTTACCCATACTTCCAATTCATCAGTATTTAGGACAGCCGCACCCAATGAGTGAAACGGGTTTTATGCTGCCAAAAGGAGAACCGAAAGTGGAGCCAGAGTTGGACTCTGGTTTGAATGCCTATGGTGGCTCATCAGTCTATCATCAGATGATGAGTCGATTGCCTCTTGGACCCCCAATGTAAATTTTTGTCCTCTAAGAAAGTATTTAGTACTTGTCTACTCTAAAAAAAGCAGAGACGTTAACTTACTATTTATATGGGTTTTTGCCTCCTGGGATTGCTTCTAACTATTCATTCTTTTATTATTTTTCCTTATGAACAATCACAGATTTGATTTCATATTCACCATACTTGTGAGTAAACTTTGCCTTTGTCCTTGTCCTAAGGAGCAGAATTTCATTCTTTTCTTTTTCATTATTAAAATGCCAAAAAAAATTTTTAGCAGCTTTCATGGCCAAGACAGTGTTGTACAATTTTATGATCTTCTCCACTTAGAAACCCGAAAACCAGTTATGTGAGCATGCATAATTTCTGTCACGTCATTCATGGCCGAATGTATTAAGCTTCTCATTATCGTCTTCTTTGATCGGTTGATAGTGTGTTGTGAGCATAATTTTTGTCTTAATGGCAATTCGACAAGCTTCTCATGATCATCCTTTTTGCTCGGTTGATGGTGACGCAATGTGACTTAATCCATCTCTGCAAAAGATCGAGAAATTAATCATGAAGATTTCCGAAACATCAACAGCAAACATGTACCTTAAATCATGAAACCATCAGCTAGAACCACCTTAAATCATGAAGAGTTGTAGGCCTTTTTTGTTCAGGGAAAACTGCTGTTTTGAATCTCAACCTTTTACATAGTGCAGTCACAAGTTTGAATCCCCAACCTAATAAATCTTATGAATTTTGGTCCCACAAGTTGAGCGCCTTATACATAAATTGGTCCCATGAATATAACCTATCTAATAATTTACCTTTTTTCTTTCAATTTAACGAAAAGTTAAGACTTTCAATAGTAACTTTTATTTTAATATTAAAATAAATAACTTTATTTATTTTCCTGTTTCTTCATCTATTGAAAAAATATATATTTTAAAGTGTACATATTTACTCAAACTTTTTAAGCATAAACAAACTCATAAGTCAAAAAATGATGTTATATAATACCACTGATGTTTAACGTCAATATAGTAGGATAGCAATAAACCGACAATTTTTAAGGACAACATTGAAATACTCTCATTTTTGTTCTCGTTTACTTAATTATTTATTTTTATTTTTAAAATATGATTTAAATGTAAAACTGAAAAAATGAAATGAAATGAAAAATAAGACTCAGGGCACGAGCCATGTTCCCCCTTCTGCCTCGAATTCTGCAGCAGGACAAGAATGTACATTTTACCATACAATTTGTGGTACAATCGACTTCCTAAAAGTTCCTATCATGATCAATTGTTGTGCAACTCTTTGTTTAGCACTAATTTTAAGTGGCAATAGAATTTAATAAAATTAATGACAAGTCACATTTGAATAATCTTATATTATATAACACCATTAGTGCTAAGCAACTGTTCAGTTTGGATGACAATGGACCCTACTTTGTCCAATGAAGTGAAATCCATTTTCATTCATTGGACAACAAAATTGTAGGGTCAATGCTCCCCCTTCTTCCACCTCGAAAGGGTGGAGGGGAAGCATCAAAGGGATCGAATCATTATGCATCCTGGGTTATTGAAGAATCGTCTAACTTAGATTAGCATTTGCTACAGTCTACTCATTGTCTTCTTTTAATTAGTCTGTTCACTATCTTCGTTTAATTTTTACAATTTGTAGAATGTTGGATCCACTGCAACCTAGACAGGTGCAAATTACTCGGGTGCTACATGAATATTGTTATATATTACTACTAGTGGTTAGCACCGGTCAACGAGTCAGTTTCATTAAAAAAATGTGAGTGACTCGATTGTCACGGAGAAGACGGGTGTTAATCAGCATTTATGATACATAAGCATAATCTTGCAATGTAGCAAAGAAAGTATACCTGACAAAATGAATCTTTTTATGCCAAATAAGGTCAAAACCTTCTCAAGACCTGCAAGGGGCCACTCATCATTTAAAATCAACAAAGATCTCAAATATATGAATCAAAGAGAGCATTAAAACAACGAGAGTCGATCCTGCAATCAATTAACCAACAATCTCAGATGAGTCAAGGCGATTTTACAATAGGCTGTACATGCCAAATTATCATGTCACAAAGGCTTTGTCGCCGCCTATTTTTGACTATATATATTATCGGTAAAATGGGAGTGAACCACATTACTAGTGAAATAGATCAGCAAAAAGTGAACTCAATGCCTTTGAAAGCTCAAACAGAAGGATTCATACACAAATCCATAACGAGCAAATCATACCACAAGATCAGATGACTTTGCAGTTTAACAAAGATAGTTGTTGAAACTGTTGGATTCAAACAGAACAGACCTCCAGGAAAAGTATGAAAAAAAAAAAAAAGGCTCGAATGGTATGATCTCTTTTGAAGATTTTGCAAACAAATAAAGTAGTCCTAAGCAGTAGTTTTTTGTGAATCAAGATAAGTATCACACCTTTTCTGCCTCTTAATTTGCTGATCATACGTTTTGCTATTTAGTTTTCTTCTCTTTATTTTTCATTTCATTTCCTGTATTTAGTAGGTACACATAGTTTGGTTTATTTTTCATTTCCTTTCCAAGTGTTAAGTGTACCGGTGATCTTGTGTATATTTGAAATAGAGATGTGTTTGAGATTATTAAATTTGTTGTTTATCTTAATTTCAAGAAATCCAATTATGATCTTTGGTTCATTTTTGTGCATTTTTCATGTTGAAACCCATTTTTTTGCTTTTAGAAGTTACAGTAGAACGGAATCAATCTAAGGCCCCGATTGATAGGGCTTTTTTTTCCGGGAATTAGGAAAATATTTTCCACTTTTCACTTTTTTGGCTGTTTGATAGGCGACATTTTCCACGGAAAATATTTTCCGGATTTTCCCTACACGTGTGCATTTTCCGGGTTTTTACTCCGTCACCCTAGAATGAAAGGGGTGATCTTGTAGTTCTTGGTCTGTGAAAGACAAATTGCCTATCTTTTCTTTCATCTCGAGAGAAATACGATCGGTAGGGGCTAAGTCAAACCATGAAGCAGCATCTGATACACGACCACTTAAAATGGTTTTCCATGGTCCTGTGTTGGCCGCTCCCAGCCCTTCAGAAAGCCTACAACAGATCCATATATATGCGCTTAGAGAGAATGATAGAGAGAGCATCAATAGTTCAATACTCCATTCAATGGAGTGCAAAGTATCCATCTACTTCAGTCAATGTTATGACTTACAAATATACTTAATCAGACTTGCCTGGCCTTCCCCTGTATTGCCTGTTTGCTTGTGGAGATTGTTACCAGGACAAATTAGCCTCCTTCACCAAATTCAGAAAGCTTGGAAGTAACCTTGTCTCTGGCTTCACACATCCTTAGTTGGCAGCGGATTCCACCATCCTCTGCAACCCAAGAATGTGCATGAACCATCAACTGTGGCCTTAACCAAACTTCTTCATTTGTGGTGAAGGGGGCTCTTATGAGCCTTAACAAATCCACAAGTCAACTATAGTGAAGAAGCAGGCTCCTTATATAGGCCTAGGTATTCATCTCAGTGCCATCCTGATCGTTGATTTTTCTCTCTCACTGACACAGATGTCGATGGCGTGCAATTATATGCAGTCAAGCGACTATAACTATAGTGTCAGAACATTTGACCTAGATAAACATGCCATAAATTCAGTCTAGTCCATTGGTTAATCTTGATTTTTATGGATTACAAATATTTGGCACGCATTTAACACTAGCATTAAACCTGGCTGACCACGACTTCAAAAGACTACGTTCCACGTGGACTGTTTTACTATCTCTTATATTTTTCAAGAAAGTAATATTTGAAAAAAAAAATCTTAAAAATTTTTGGGCCCAACATGTGCCATGCTAAACCTGGCAGGCTCAACCCACCTGACTTCTCATAAACGCTAATAAACCACCTATATTGAAGGGGACAAAATTAATTTCCCATATCAGTATCGTCATTTGCATTTATTTGCACACTCCAAACAGAACAAAACTAAGAAAGGAGACGAACTACAGATAAAATTTTGTCATGGTTCATGCAGCATAATTATAAAGTCGATTAAAAACTCCAAGGTAGATTCCCAAGGTATGAGAACAGAGAAGACATGCATTCAGATGCTTGAAATAGGAAATACATCTTATGCATTTCCTTTATAAGTGAGACACTCAAGACATATTCTAATGCACGCGGATGAAACCATGAAAACAGAAGGTATTTGAGAAACATGACACAGAAACTGCGGAACGAAACCTACAACTATGAGGACGATTGACAATAAGTACAGGTTATTTTCAAGAGACATTAAGAGTAAAACTATCACTATTCATTCCACAGATAAAATTCTTCTCACCCTAATTCAAGATCGAATAAGGAAATTAAAGGTAACCAGCATGGATTACTTTGTACAAACAAGGTTATCAAGAAAGTAACTGTCCTGTCTCGACATGCCTACAACATGAAGATGTAATATGTGACTTTATATTAATACCAGAAGAAGTCGTTCATGCTCATCAAAAAATAAACATGCATTTAAGATGGATGAATTTAATAAATGAGAAAATTATCAAAGAAAAGTCCAACATACTGAATGGTATTTCTCCAAGAGACATATATATCGGGTCATCATCAACAAGCGTCCCCTGCAATAAATATTGAAAAGTGTGTAAGAACTCATCTCTAATTACCAAAAACATTCCTCAGCCAGATGTCATCGATGCAGATGGAAAATACATTGGACGATTAAGGGTGTCAATAATACGAAGACGCGACATGACGTGACTGATACATGAGACTAATAAGTGGTGAAACTTTTTTTATTCCAAATCAGAAAGTTATCAGTAGTCACCCCCTTACCTCTCCATTATGAAGGCCCAAGTCATTGTGCTGAGAATTCAACTCTCTGGATACAGAAGAACATTCAAGTCTATCGTTTCCAAGCAATTCTGACATCACAAATCCATAACCATCTCGGATGTCGGAAATCTCATTAGCATCATGTACATTATTAGGAAAGCTATCTGGGCCAGTAAATACAGTATCAGCTCTGCATAATTGAGACATACCATCATAAGAGACTTTCCCAATGACAAGAATAAATGTAATGCAGATTATATTGAGCTTGCTCTATTAGAATTTTCAAAGATTTTTGTACATCTGTAACTGTACACGTGTGGATATATAAGGACGGGAAACATACTGAGAACAAAAGTTCACCTTCTCTCTGGAGTGAAGGTCTTGTCTTCATGAACAGAATCAATTTCCAAATCAATCACCTCAATGTCTTTATCATCAACTCCATGCTTACCATTTTTATTAGACACGTGACTATAGCAATTACTCATGGACAAATCAACGTCAATAGGTGCTTCTAGTTTTACACTTTCAGTGATATTCTCATTCACATCACAAGTCTCAATAAGATTAAGGTCGAAAGTCTTAAAAGAGCCCGGAAATAGCTGCTTCTCTTCTATGTACTGACATGATTCAGCATGACCTTTTGGAAATAGTGAAATGCACATATTCTTCTGATCAGGCGATAAAATTACATGGTCACTGCATGAAGTTCCTGGCTTGTGTGAATTATGCTGAGTTTCCATTGAGTTAGCACGGGGCAAGCAGCCTTCAGATTGAGTTCTCAAGGGAACCCATTCTCTAAGTTTTTTAGTTCCCTCCTGATCATCAATGCTAACAACTAAGGCTCGTTTTTTGCCCCTTTCCATATACATGGAGCTGGACCTTCGAAATTCCTGCAACTCCTTATCCACTTCTTGATCGTTTAATACAAATCTGTCAAGAAAAGATCTAGACTCTGAGCGTGGTCCTGTCCTCGAAATGCATTTAACACCCACATTTTCCTCCACAGTTGGAGCTTTCAGAACGTCAGAGTTGAGGCTTTTTAATTCATGACTTTGACCAGACGAAGCAATACCAGCAGAACTATCAATGAGGATATCTGTGGCACGCACTTCAGAGCCGTCAGAAAGTTTGTTCTCATCTTCAGTGATAGGATCCAGATCAAGCGGTGTACCTCTAATTGATGATGAAGAAGAAGTTTTAGTGGAAACATTTTCAAATTCGCAGTGCATCACTGAGTCAATATCGTCTTTGCTCTTTAAATCCTCCTGTGAAGAAGCTGTGATCTCCGTGCTCTCGCCCTCTTTTCGCCCCAAATCAATATCATTGCTTCCCTTTTTAACCTCCTCAGTTCCTGATACGCTCTCCTCATTGGAGCCTTTGATGACTTCCTCGTCAGCATTTGATTGGAGATCCTTCTCATTGCCAGAACACCTTGTTTTTGCACAAGCATCACCGGACTCAAAATCAGCCATATCGTTACTTTCTTGAGTTAATTCACCAGGAGATGAAGTCTTCCCTCCACCACCTCCTTCTTTATCTACAGGCTGCCCATCACGATGTCCAGAAGAAGCCCCTTCAGCCTCCAAACAGGGGGAATCCCTATTCCTACCAGACCATGACTGACTTCTTCCAACGTTAGGGTAGGACACAGCTCTTGTACTTCCTCTTCCAAAACTTCTCGACCCCATTGAATTATATTCATCACAATGTCTTCTTGTACCAGGTCCTACATCCCCGGAAGCATCCCCCAAACGAGAATGAGCAGATGCACGAACATCTGTGTGAATTGGGTCGACTTCATGTGGTCTAAAATCACCCATCTGTTTCTTCAAGCCACCATTTTGCCACTTCCCTGAGAGTACATTTAACGGCAGCACTCCATTAGAAACCAAATACTCAGCAGCTAGCTTGCCGGCTTCCATGAAAATGTCAGTCTCTAGTGGTAGCTGGAACTGCTTTGAGTGGCCAACACGTCCTTGGAAACCACGACTGTAGTTCCTATACTCTGAATTATACATCCGAGAACCTCTTATTGTTCCTTCAGGCAAACTATGGGAGCCAATGGCCACACTGCCCATTACCGTTGCATTAGACCTGTACCCTTTCCCTGGACCATTACGATGCCTTGCGTGCATGCTTTTCAGGTTTCTGGACGCGCGCGCTCGTTTTTGTATATTCTACTCGGCAACTGAGAAAAGTCCAACAAGATTTCTGAATGTTTAATCAAATCCCCCTATAAACTAGAAACATCATCAAAAAACCACGTCCAAAAATATTTCACAAGTTAATATATATTTACTGCATTTCAAATTCTTAAAAGTTAAAATAATAAACCCAATCTCTGCACATCCAGTACTGTATAAAACATCGATGATGCATTTTTTGAAATATCAGAACCTTCAAGGCAAGCAAAGTATATTCCACTTCCAAAATTAAATTAATAATAATACAATGACACTTTTTTTTTCTTTTCAGCAATTTTTATTACCAAGCCCTAAAAATTAAGTACTTTCTTTTTACTTGATAGATACAGCTGAAATTTGAACAGTTTTTGATGTAAATATCCACAAATCCAACCGTAGAAAAGCATACTATCAAGGTCTCAGCAACGCGGATCTGACAATTTCTCAATTAAAACTTCAAATTAGTACAGCATTTGTGTTACCTTCTTTATTGACTGAAGCAAAATAGTTGTTGCACGAGTTCCACAGGTGAAGTATTCAAGATTTCAGCATTTCAGATCCATTTCTCATCATCAATTCAATTGCAAACCTTTTCATATACATATTTTTAAATGTATATGCACATCTATGTAGACTGAGTGCAGGTGTGGGAATCTCAGGTCAATTTTTTTGCAATCCATGAATCAATATGACTTCGTTGTATCTGCGTATAGATATACATACGCATATATATGTGTGTGTATGTCCTTTGCTCGTTTTTCTTTTTAAATTTATTTATTCTTAAATATATTTATTTTTCACCATCAGAGGAAAATGTATTTTAATTAGTGATTTTTGGAGAATATGCCCTTAAAAATAAAAAATAAAAAATTAATTTACGTGTAATATTATTTTATTGGAGAATTTGTAATAGAAAATGAGTTTTGATTTTTAATTTTTTTTTTTAATAAAATGGGTCTATTGTCGAAATTTTTTACGAAGAGGATTATAAATGTTTGTTATACCTTTTTCGATTTGGCCAGTACAGAGTTGCCAGATGAATACTTTTTTCGTTTAACTACAAAAAATTTAGTCATAAAAGATTTGTTTATCGATTTAGAATTCTAAAAATCGTTTGTTTCGATGTGTAGTATAGATAAATATTTTATTATCATTATTGAAGTTGAAATTCAATGATTTTACAAAATAAATTATCCTAATTATAAATTATATTTTCTATTTTATCATCTGACTAATATAGTTCAAACATCTTATTAATTATTGCACCAAAAAATTAGGAAACTAATTATTCTTAAATTAGAAATATACATGCATTTACATTATAGTATTTTACATATTGCGATATATACATTGAGACGCAATTAGTTAGATGACAAAATTTTCTACATACGATAAAATCGAAAATCCATTTAGTCAACGTAATGCTACAAGGGTAATTAACACATAACGTCTCAACATTTCATTGTTATTATCGAAAACGTTTATACCTTTCATTTTTTGACATTTTCACACTTATTTCCACTTTTCATTGTGCAAAAGGTCATTTTCATCAATTCGCAATTAAAAATTGTGAAATGACAAAAATACCATTTCATTTAAGTAAAACAAAAGAAAAAAGAAAAAATTTAATTGTAAGCATAGTTCCAACTTTTTTGAAAAGCGCAAATGAGACAGATAAACTATCAAAGGGTAATTAGCACATACTGTTCATACATTTCACTATTATTGCGAAAAACATCCCAACCTTTTTTTATTGACATTTTTTCCTTAATTATAATTTGATAGCGCAAACCATCATTTCTATCCATTTTTATCCAATTTTTTAATAAAGAATTGTGAAATAATGAATATACTCTCATATTTAAATAAAAAATATATTTTTAAATTTCTAATTCTTTAATAATTTAGTTGGGACTCGTATGTACTTTTTTATTATTTTTTAATAAATTTAATTGAGACTCGTTTAAAAAAATTGGGACAATTATTACAATTAATTCTTTAGCTTTTTTATTTAAATATGAGGGTATATTCGTCATCTCACTGTTTTTTATTGAAAAAATGAATGAAAATGGATAAAAGTGATGGTTTGCGCTATCAAATTATAATTAAGGAAAAAAATGTCAAAAAAAGGTATGAATGTTTTTTCGCAATAATAGTGAAATGTGCGAACATTACGTGCTAATTACCATTTTAGTAATTTATTTGGGATTCATTTGCATTTTTCAAAAAAGTTGAGACTATGTTTGTAATTAGGTTTTTTTTTTTTCTTTTTCATTCAGTTTTATTTAAAGTGAAGTGTATTTTGGTCATTTTACAATTTTTAATTGAGAAAATTGATAAAAATGACATTTTGTGTAATGAAAGATGAAAATAAGGGTCAAAATACCAAAAAATGAAAGGTATGCGGTATGGACGTTTCCACAATAATAGTAAAATGTAGGGGACGTTATGTACTAATTACCAATTTGAAAATAAATTCGAATAAAGTGTAGGCCCTCGACCGTGTGTAATGACTTGTCCTTGTGTCACGGGCAGCAGCCATTAGGAAACTAATTATTCTTAAATTGGGAATATACGTGCATTTACATTATACATACTGTGATATATACATGGAGACGCAATTAGTTAGATGACAAAATTAATTTTTATTTAAATATGAGGGTATATTTGTCATTCTACTGTTTTTTATTGAGAAAATGAATGCAAATGGATAGAAGTGATGGTTTGCGCTATCAAATTATAATTAAGGAAGAAAATGTTAAAAAAAAATGTATGAATATTTTTCGCAATAATCGTGAAATGTGGGAACATTATGTACTAATTACCATTTTAGTAATTTATTTGGGACTCATTTGCATTTTTCAAAAAAGTTGAGACTATATTTGTAATTATTTTTTTTTTCTTTTACATTCTGTTTTTTTTTTCTTTTACATTCTTTTTCATTTTACAATTTTAATTGAGAAAATGGATAAAAATGACATTTTGATCAATGAAAGATGAAAATAAGGATGAAAATACCAAAAAAATGAAATGTATGCTGTATGGACGTTTTCCACAATAACAATAAAAGGTGAGGACGTTATGTGCTAATTATCCATTTAAAAATAAATATTCGAATAAAGTGTAGGCCCTCGATCGTGTGTAATGACTTGTCCTTGACACCTTGTCTTTGAAAAAGCGTCCGCTTCCTCCTTATGCAAGAAAGTGAAGAAACTTCCTTCACTTCACTATAATTTTCCACAATTTATTACCCAAGAAAATTCCATTTATAAATAGTGCATTTTGTGCTGTCATTGATGAATAAAAACTGCAATCAATATCCATTTTTTGTCGTATGAAATCTGTATTTTTCTGTTCATTCTCAATATTCGAAGAAAAAATATAATTGTGGTGTTAAACTAAAAAGTATTTCTCTTTTCAATTATCTTTAAATGAGGCTAGACTTATTTTTTTCAAATTTATTTTTAACTATATATTCTTTCAATAAAATAATTTTACACGTAAATACAGAAACTTTCCTTACCATCTTGCATTTGCCAATCATGTCAAAACAATGTCATAGTGGTTTACAAACGAGCTTCTAATTTATACATCCATCGAGCATTTTATCCTAAGGTGGATACATGCTCACTAGATATTTCGACCAAAAATATTTTTGATAATGAAGGTCAAGGAAAGACCGTCCATGTCATACATTGTTACATTTTTCCCACGATAGAATATTCAATAATGTTATCTTTCATATTTCTCTAGTTTATGAGAGCGTGCACATATTTTTCAAAAGTTAGCATTCTTCACAAGTTTCTCCGCATTTATAGAATATTTAAGGCTTCCAATTCGAAGCAGGCTACTTTTAGGATGACAATTTGACTCGAAAAACACGTGCTTGCAGTGCCCCATTGGCGGCGAGGTGATTTCGGGATGGGAACGACCTATATTGTTATTTTTTTTAAAATGATATTTTGTCAAAAAAAGAAAAAAAAACACCCTTTCTATGTTCAAACCCAGGAGGATTACCTAATCCCATTAATTCAATTCTCAACTTATCCGACAAAAAAATAAAATATAAATGTAGTGCTTGTTTGGTAGGAATTTTTGGGGGAAAAATTAATTTTTGAATAGTGATATGATGAGAAATGTATGGTTAAAAAAGAAGAAAAAATTATTGATGTGATGGAAAATATTATTTTATTAAAAAAATGTGTGGTTGAAAATGAAAATTGATTTGAGAATCAATTCTCAAATAAAAAATAAACACCCCCGTAATAGCAAATGGGACCGTAGACTTGCCCCCTCCAACGCTGTAGATCGATGTGAAAATTTACGACGGAGCGAGGCACGTTGTTATCTAGTTAAATAATAAAATTAATGCATATCACATCAACATTTTCATTAATTATGCCTTATTTCAGCTCCAATAAAAATATATTGTTAGTGCCTACCTGGGAGTGATTTTAAGTTGTAAAATAAGTGATTTTTTTACCGTTGATTGGTGCAACGGTAAAAAAATCAAACAAAGCTGCTGTATTCTATTTTTGACGTGTCTGACCAAAATGGACAAAAAATCAATTCTTAATTTTCAAAATCATGCCTAGATAGCCCCTTAATTGTAATATTTTTAAAAAATGTGTAATTAAAAAAAAATGAAATTACATGCAATATTATTATTATTGTTATTATTTATTTATTTTAAGGATGCGTCTCCTATTGGTTCATCAGAATACATTGAGGGTGTGTTTGGAACACATTCTTTTGAAAGAATGTATTATTGAATAGTAGATTGATGGAGAATATGTGATTAAAAATGAAGGAAAAGTTATTGATGTGATGGAAAATATTATTTTATTGAAGAATGTGTGGTTGAAAATGAGTAGAAGAATGAGAATGAAAAAAATAATGTGTACCAAACAGGGGCATATTATCGAACATAAGCATTTCTCATTATCGATACTATAGAAGCGTTCATTATGAATATGCTGCTATTNCACACAAAATTGAGTGGTCGAAGCCTTGTCAGTTGACCACAATTCCTTCGAAGTCAAACTTAACCCCACCTTATTTCCAAATTCCGAAAATGCCCTTATCTCCCACCGCTGGAGCCGCCTCCGCCGCAACGTACACTACAATCCCTATCTCCATTTCTGACGTCATTTCACGATCAATTCAGAACCTGTCGGCTTTCCTTTCCCGCTGCCGCCCCTGGCTTGAATTCCTTGCCACTACGTCCGCCATCGAAGTTCCCTCCTCCACGTCTGACGCCAGCGTCCGTCTCCGCCGGAACGCTAACTACTTCTCAGTCAACTACGCCATCATCATCTCCGCCTGCGCCGCTGTTTCTCTTATTGGTGCTCCGATTGTGCTTTTAATTATCGGTACTGTTTACTTTATGTGGTTGATTCTCCATTTCTTCCGGGAAGATCCGTTACTAATCTGGGGCTGCCACGTAAGCGATCGGGCCATTGTTGTGAGCCTGGTATTGGTCTCCATAGCGGCCATTTGGTTCACGGGAGCATTGAATAATCTTTGGATTGGCATTGGGATAGGGCTCTTGGTTTCCGCCATTCATGGGGTTTTGAGAACACCAGAGGGGATTTTTCTTGACGAAAACGATGCCATTTCTAACGGTTTGATCGCATCAAAATCTACAGTTTCGAGTCCTCATGGTGGTGGAATTTCCTATAATCTGCCTTCGTAACTAGCACACCCAAATTGGTTTGCTTTTGCATTTTGCAAATTCTTGTGTGGATATCATTTTTCTGAGTGGTTGAGAACATACATTGCGTTGAATTGAAGAAAATGATTTCTGGAAGAAGCTATTGTTGTATGTTAGAGTCTTGTGAATTTGTAGTATGTTTGGCCGTCTTTGCTTCTTTTCTCGACATGTCTTGGATTTTTTCTTGTGCGGGTATTGATTTTTATTTCTGTAATGCTGCTTTGTGAGGTTTTCTTATTTATCTTTTATGACAAAACTGTGTCTTGTGGGTTCTCAGTGTTATCGCTGGAATGTGACTTCTGCTTAAGCTCAGAGTGAAATGTGTGTTGATGTTCAGTAGTCAAAACAAGCTCAATACTGAACTATGTGGAACTGTGAATCGTGATAATATGAAAGTACATGATAGATCTGTGCACATATATCTTGTGTGTGTGTCTGCAGCAGTTCGAGATTTTACAGGGGGATTATTTGACATTGTTGCTTATATAAGTTGATTGGAAACGACTTTCAAGCACGACTTATATAATTCAAATGCTGGTACTGTGTAGCAGTGTCGTAAACATACGATATCAATGAAGGATTAGGACGCTAGAGTTTATATAAGACTTGTAAAAACATTAGGGCCTGTTTGGTACATTGTACTTGAGGACTGAGATGGTATTGAATAAGAAAAAGAACATTAAATATTTTCATTAAAATGTCAAGCCCTCAAGCCCTTCGAGTATTGCGTACCAAACATGCAATACATGCAAGTAACCAGTGGTGTTGCATGATTAATGTTTGAACAAAGTTGTTGATGTTAATGTGATACATCACATTTTACTCCTCATCCTTACTAATTTGGCCAATATCTCTTGGGCAGCCAATGTTTGAGCATGATTGTGGCCTAGCATCACTGTCCTGATACTGATGCAAGTTCTACATAGCTCTTCGCCGCTGTCGAAATGGCCCCCTCTCAGCAGCAATTTTGCTCTCATCTCGAGGAGGGTAGCTTTCAGCAAGGTCACTTCTTGCCATACGTGCTCGTCCACTCTTTGATTTGGTTGTAGTGCGTTTTTCCAGCAAATAGAATCGTGACACCAATCCTGTATCTGGGACGCAAATGACTTCTCTAATTCTTCGAGCGTGTTCGTGGAGTGTTTCAGAAGCTCTAAGGCTGAGGTACACCTTGAGAAGTTTGTGAAGGCTTTTATAGCTAAAGGCAGAGCTATCTTTCTAATGAAGAGAACTGTGTCAATTGGCTTGAGCTGGACGAGTGGAGTTTCGGATTTGAAGCCGAAGACTAGGAAAGCAGAAGCCCATAGGTGATCTGAATTTGCCACTGGATTCCCAGTTTTCCGTATACCCTGAACTGTTGCCTTTGCAGCTACTAATCCGTCTTTTGTTTTCGCAAATGTTTGAGCTATGGGGTGGAACTGAATCCAACATCCAGGCTCTCTATTGGCTTTCCAAGCCAAACCAAGTTTAACCAAGAGAAAGGCTGGATCTTCTTTACTCATCCAACTTTGGCTTGCAAAGCAACTTGAACGACATAAATTGAGTTTCAGGCATTTTGTCCACTTGCTCAATTTTTTTCGTGTAGATGGTATGTTATTTGCTGCTGCGGTTAGTAGATTTGCCGGAATAGGTGCTGGGGCAAACCATGCTCCAACCTGTAGCATTCTAAATGCAAGGAGGTTCCGACCCCCCTTTATTTGGTGCAATAAAGCAGCACAAAAGGACAGAACTTTCATTAGGAAAGGATTGGTTCTATAAAATTGTTGATCTGAATTGTCCAGACTTAAGCAGTCGCCATCTTCTTCATGTTGCGTCTGATTCACAGCCTCAAAAAGAGCAGATGGAGCAATCGTAAGTTCAGAAAGCAATGAACCAACCACCCACAATCCAAAACTCGACCTTCTCAATTTATCATTGAACTTTTCAAGAAATTCTAGCTCTGAAGTAGGATAATCATTTTTCATTCTTCCTCTGAGCAATGTCATTGCATCTGCAAAAGGCAATGGTAGAAGCTGCAAAGGGTCACAGTTCATTACTCCGGAGAGCCTTGTTGTGATAATTACATGGGTGCCTCCTGTGTTCCTTGGTATAAAGTCATGTAGATCTTTCCCTTCCCACCATTCTCTCTCAGTCTCTAAATTATCAATAATCAGTAAATAGGGCATGTCCCGGAACAGCTCCCGTCTAACTCTCTTAAATGCTTCGGTTTCTTGTTCGCCAAAGCTCCGGGTCCTCCCTCTTTCCTGCTCTGCATCTGCACTCACGTCCAACCCCATATTGACAGATAAATTCAGTATATTTTGCCTGAAATACCGACCTTGGCCACCAACCCACAAAACCATTTTGTATCTTTGGGAGTTCCTGTAGGCAAATTCCAGTGCGAGCTCTGTCTTTCCAGTTCCCGGGGATCCATTTATGCATATAACACTGCTTCCATAGTTCTTATATTTACCACTTTTTGACTTTCTATATTTAGGCCTCTTTGGTGAATTTCTTCCAAATTCTGGTTCAACCGAAGCCCCTAAATTTGGTTCCTCCTCTGCTAGACTTTCAGATGGAGCTGGTGTTCCTCCTTTAATGGTCAACATGGGCCATTCTTGCTCCAAATAATCCCCATACCCAAAGAATGTAGTCTCAATTTCCATAATTTCTTTCTCCCTCCCCACAAAGTATTTGTTTCTCGGGAATGGTAACTCCTCAAACATCTCTACTTCCTTATCCGCCACACTCTTCCTCCCAAGCTTTGTTCTTAGTATCCCGACAGCCTTTGATGCACAACTTCTCCAGCTACCATCATTTGCTTCCAGTTTGAATTCATGAGATCTCATTAATCCATCCAATGCTTCTTTGAATTCCTTGTTATCAGAATGGGGGTTGAAGAGACTTGCAATTTTGTTAGCATCAGTTTCGAAGAACACAGGAATCAAGTTCTTCTTGTGAGCAAAGAATCTGAGCTCCTCCAAGCTTAGATGGTTAAGAAGGCTATACCTGGTGACAACCACAACAGCAAAGGTTACCGAGCAAATAACTCTATCAGCAATCTCGTGGCTCTGATTATCCACATAGTTTGCTCTGTCAGCACCAAAGCAAGCAATGCCCTGAACCTCAAGCTCCGATTTAAGCCACTTGCAGAACCGTATCAAGTTTGGGTTCTGACCATGGAAGCCTATGTACACGTCACAGCTTCTAAGTTTGGAATTGGAAATGGGTGTAACAGAGGCTTTTGCAAAGGACATTCGAGGGACAGGAAATGATAACGAAATGCGAGGGCCAGTGTCTGGACCTGAAAATGGAACACAGGTAACAATTTTGAGCTTTGTGTTTGCTGCGTCATCAGAATAATCACATCTCTCCAGAGGTGGGGTGTACGAAGTGCTAGGGATGTCGTCAGTCTGGGAACCACAGTATGATGCTGGTGGAGATGGTTCAGCATATGTAGTTTCCGGGGTGGGACTCTCTTGGGTTGGATTTGAATTTGTACCCAAAATTGCCCTTGGAGAAATATAAGGAGATTGTAATGCTGAAACAAATGCAGACGATGTGGGGGACACGAGTGGAGACTTACATGGAGACGATGCAACAGAATTTGTAAATGAGTTCTTTGACTGTGAATTTGGAGTTGAGGGGACGTTGTCGGCTAGAATTTCCTTACCCAGTTCCTTACCGGCACTTGCTACCTTAACGGTGAGAGACTTGATATTAACGGTCCGGATTTCTTTTTGAGGTTCTGCAGACAGTCTTGCTTCTTCGTCCATGTTCGACTAATTAATGAGGGCCCAAAACTTGCTTTTGGTGGTTGTAAAAGTTACAGAAGTTTTCAGGAAGGCAAGAAAATGCTTGATACTGGGAGTAGATGAAGTCCCATACCATATATTCCAGAAGCATTCACTAAAACCATTTTGAACAGATTTACATCAGAAAAAAATTGAACTCTGTAATTTATGCTGACAGGTGCAATTTATTGTGTGGCTATGACTGAGGATTCTTTAGAAGATGGATGCAACAGTAAAGACTTTTATACAGCAGAAGAGATCCTACATGTGAAATTTATGTATCTTCTTCTTCTACAGTGGGGCCTCAAACTGTCAGAACCAGACCTCACTTTTTTCAGGACTGGATCAGACAATCAATGCAAATACAGAAATAAAAATCGAAACATAGATATATCTTCCCATCAAGAAAGTTTCTGTTTTTGATCCATCATTATGATAAGATAAGCAAAAGACACTTAAAGGCTGAATCAAGCAAAGTTTAACCGTGCCCGTCAACTTACCATGATCCTCCTCTATTTTCGAGCTTGGAACTGGTTGACGCGGTTTACTTGAATTTGAGAACAACTATAAAAAAAACATACAAAAAGGCGAACAGTGAACAGACTAAATGTATCTTCTCATTTTCTTTCATGAAGAAGCTGTCCTACAGATGGGGTGATCCAATATGTGGGTTGGATCTATGAGGATTGAACAACATAATTTTGTATAAATGCTTTAAAAAGAAGCCGCAGAGTGTTAATGGTGCATATTTTAATGTTGCTAGTTTAATGGTTTTGTCTTGGGTTTGGGATACTAGTTTTTGTTTCTTGTGTTGTGAGATTTTATTATTTGAATTTTAAATGCAGTAAATTAAGCATAATTTCTCTCTCTAATCACATGTAGCAAAGATTGGTCAGATAGAGAAAAATTACCATGGGAGAGGAAGGATGAACTTGGACCTTAAATGGGCAGTAATTTGTAAGGGCATTAATGTCAATGTTTGGCACAGTGTTTGTACGTTAATGTCAAGACGCAACATGAAAATCAATTACATTTTACAAAGATTTTTTTTTTAATTACGTAGACAACGCATCTTCACATGTCGTCGTCTAGGGGGCAATAGGTTGAGTTACACAGCCCATCGATAATGACGTCCTATTCGGCTCATTGGTCAACCGGCCGAGTCAGGCTAGCCCGTTGATTAAGGGGTCGACCCTGCCTGTGTAGGACCTAACTCAGTTGCCCCGCTTGACCAATTTTGAAATAAACTTCAGAAAAGCAAAATAAAAATAATTACGAAATAAACAACTTTATTTTTTTTGGGGTTTGGGATTGATTACTATTAAACATAAACAAAATGAAAATTGTGTACATAAAAAGTTACAACCACGCTACATGTATAATGGAGGATGACAATGTTGGATTACCAACTCACAATGGGAGGGGTCCACTTTTTTTTTTGAAATTTTTTAATCACGCGAGACCCGCATGCATGTGAGAGGTTGTCAACCTCCATTGTCAACCATCCATTGTACAAATAGAATTACCCAAAAAATTAATAGGCCGCCCCAATCAACGAGCCTAGACCTGCATGCTTGTCACGTGGAAGTGGATGGATGGCTCCATCTAGCTTTGGACATGGTGAAATATATGGCCGACAGATCTTTAAGAGGCTAGTGAGTAGCATGAATTAGATAAGACTAGATATGATCGATTAAAAGATCTATAAAGAACATATTTGGCTAAACTTTGAAACAAAATAATTTTACAGTTGATTTACTTTAAAAAATGTAAATTTTCGAACCTAAAAATTTTAAACATGTTTTGTAACCTACAAATAGTGACAACTTTTTGAGGTTAGAGAGACCTACTTCTACAACAAATAATGGAAAAAAAAACTATTGGCTTTCATAATGAACCTTTGACAATAGAAAAACTAGTTTCGACTGAATTTGCACAATATCACTTTTCATTAATGGGATGCTACGTGTACACAATGGCGTACACACGGCTTTACACCCCTCTCACATGGAGAGGGACCCACACACTATAAAATATTTGTAGGTCCCTCTCCATGTGAGTGAGGTGTAAAGTTGTGTGTACACCACACATAACATTTTTCTTTCATTAAACATGCGACTTACAAGGAATTGATTATATAATTATAATTTCACAGTAAGTCCCCGTTTGGATCATATTTTTATCTCATTAAAATGAAAAATATGACCGTTATCCATCATATCAATATTTAAATTCAAATTTTCTATCTCTTGTGTGGATCTCAATAACGACAATATTTTTCATTCTCGTTTTACAAAAATGTGGCTCAAACAGGGCCTAAATGTTGTCTGAAATAATAATGTAATTCATAGGCAATTAGGCATGAAACCTATTGCCGGCTAATTAATTGCAAATATAAATAACTTTTAATTTAAAACAATAAAAAATAAAAAATTATAAAGTTACAAATAAATAAATAAATAAATTTAAAAGTTACTTCTAAAGATAATCAAATACAGTCGAGTCCATGGGTATCACCCGTGTGGAAGCACCACTTGTTGTCCATGGGCCCACCGTCCCACGCTGTGGACCCCCTTTCCATTTCCTTGCATGTTCGGCCTTGTCTTTTCTATTATAATCCAAAATTTCCCCCAATTATTATTATATTATTTCCTATCATTATTCAGAAATCAAAAATTAATTTTACGACCATATATCTTCAAATCCATCTTGCAACTCGGGATTCCTTCCAATTCCCTAAAGCTCCCAAGGTATGCTATGCTTGTTAGTTTTTAATTTCTTCCTGTCAAAATTTGAAATTCTAATTTCCATGGCTTTCCGCTTTGTTAATTACTTTCCATTTATGATTTGGATGTAAGAAGTTTTATTGAATTGAATTCCACCGGAAGTTTAAGAGATTCGATTTCCCTTAAAAAGTAATTGATTTCTCCCATTGGAAGGAAGGGATTAATAGACTCGATCGAATTCACGTAAAGTGTTGAATTTTCCGTTTCCAATGCTTTCCGCTTTATCAGTTGCTTTCCATTTCCATTTTGATTTAGAATTTATTTGAGTTGAATTCTATCAGAAGTTAAGGGAAATTCGATCTTGTATAGGAAGTAATTGATTTTTCTCTCGACAGTTTTTGGTCGATTTGATTCACCGGTGAGCTGGATTGACGCTTGTTTATCCTCGATCTTGATCTGAATTCTTTATTACAATAATATTGTGAATAAGAAGAAAAAGGAATCTAAGGTAAATGGATTTGGAAAGGGAGGCATCCGGACTCGAATTTGGGGAAGATAATGATGCAATTAGTACCATTTCTGGCTCAGAGAAATTGGTAAATGGTGATCAAACCAAGGTTCAGAACCACGGAGGTGTGGTGGAAAATAATTACCCTAACGAGTTATCTTCCAAGGGTAAGGGAATGGGAACTGAAGTTAAAGATTCAGTGGATTTGGCAGACACAGATGCGCAACCAGAAGTGTCACCTTCCCATGCAACAATGAAGAAAGGAAATAGGTTGAAGAAATGGAAAAGGATCAAGAGGGACCCCAATAAGGTTGGGAACAGTAGTGCTGATACTGGCAATATGCCTACACAGGATTTGTCAAATTTGGGTGGAAATTCGAGCAAACGGATGCAAGTTTTTGATGACAGGAACCGAAAAGGTGAGGGGTCTGTTTCATCAACAAATGCTGTGGTGAGGAATTTGGATGGTTTTGCTATGCTTGGTGATTATGGGTTGTCCATTGGACCAACCTTTGCTGCTGGAACCGATTCAGAGAATAGTGAGGATCGGAGTAGCAAGTCCTCCACGGCAGCCAGTGCTCCAAGTGAGAGATATGAGATGCCAGTGGTTGCAGGATTTCCGCGTGATAGGAGCAGGATGAGGAGTCTGAGTGGAAAGAATTTGGGCAGCACAGTGCGTGGTCAGCAGGGAAAGGGACGCATTGAGACTGGTAAGAAGGCTAAAGGAGAACGTTTCAAAATCGATAAGGAAAATTCTCATTCCAGCATGGAATCTGACTCTCGAAGCTCCAACTATGCCCTTATGCAGGGAAATGACACCGCAATGAGTAATGGGATTCTAAGTGGAAGGCCGATGAATTATGATGAAGAAAATGGTGATGAAGTTCAGGCCGGTGAACGTGAAGTTAGTGATGGACTTCGAGATGGTTATGACAGGAACAATGACAGAGGTTTTGAAGATGTCTCTCGTGAAGATTTAGTTGCCGACTCATCTTGGGAGTCTAATGAAGAAAGAAGTGAGAACCATGGGAACTCAACAGATTCTGATCCTCTGGTTAAATCCATATTTGCACTTCAATCAGCACAAGAAACACTTGAAAAAGGTGGGCGCACCTCCTTCCTTTGCCTCGTTTGATAATTATCTTGTTTGCAAATTTTTTTTCTTCCGATATATAATAAACTCTACTTTTGCAATTATAAGAAAGTAAGAATGATACTTGGCTCGTCGAATCTTTCTCATGACACGAAGTATAATGAAGATGGCTTTTAGTTATTGTCACTAGATCTAAACCAACAGTGAGGGATTATGGGGATTGTTTAATCTGTTTCGGGTAAAATTTGAAGTTCATCTCCTAGAGAAGGTTAAATATTTAAACATTAATTATAGTAGGATGAACTCTATTCTTGACCCTTGTACGAATACATTATTCCCCGTATCTGTACTAATTTATCTCAACACTTTAAAGCATCAGTTTAAGGTTAAAAATTGATGAATTTATTAAACAGATTATAGGATATTTGTTCTTCAAGTGTATTCCTAGTATATGATCCTGTACTGCTTTTATCCTTTTCTTCTGATGTAGAATTAGAAACTGTGATTTGACATCATTAGCTTGTAAATGTCTGACCTTGCCTGGATGCCTGAATCTTTTACTTCCATTTAATAGACTCAGCATTTCTTCAAATTTGGAGATAGCTTTAAATAATCATTGAAATATTATTCCAAGAATAAAATGAAATGGTGCTAAGCATCATGCAAATCCCTGAATCTTTACCCGTATGTTGGAACAATTCATTCAAAACAGTACTCGTAGGTTTGAAAAAATTGTATTAAATAGATAAATGGAGTGTATGATCTTTGTCATGCCAGTTAGTGTGTGTGTTAAATTCTGTATGTCTACTTTAAATATAGGAACGTCCTACTAGGAATATAAGTTGAATGAAATTCTTTCTAGCAGTTGAAGAATGTCTAGAATTGTTAGATAAAAGTATTGTTTAATGAAAAAAATCATGTTCTTTCTTAATATTTTTTTGTATATTGATTTTGATGGTGTTCAAAATCATTGTGATTTATTGCAATATCTATTGTTTGTATGTTATACTATGTCACAATATACGCCTAATGTTTACTATGTCACAATATACGCCTAATGTTTTAAACAAATTATTATTATCGTTCCCACGGATTTGCAGAATATTGTAGCTACAAAAATCAGTTATGATTCCTCCATGTTTGTGATGTTAATACTGCATAAATCTTGTCTCTTTTGAGTGATACACATTGGTGCAACTTATAATTTCTTGGATTTGTTTGTAAATTTTAGGAAATATGGGTTTAGAGTGAGACGCCCTTGTAAAAGTTATTGATTAGTCAGGATTCTGTTTTGTGACTTATCTATTTTATCACGCCATGCCACATCTAGTGGTGTCATTGTGATGTAGAACCTAATAGATGGGAATAAGGAAGAAAAAAGGTGTAAAAAAGAGAAAAAAAATTTGAAGGATAAGAAGAATTTAGGGAGGAGAAGATATCAGTATTTTAATTTATCAATAATAGCCCGAATACAATAAAATGCTACGTCCTATTTATTAAGAACTTCAAGTAAATACCTTTCAAAAAAAAAAAGAACTTCAAGTAAATAACAATTATTCAAATGATAAAATCGCATCTAGTAAAACCATTAAAATCTAATTTAAGTCAAACTTATCTTCAATCCTAATCCTTTTGAAATCTAAGATCCCAATCCTTATTCTCCATCACGCCGTGCTTATGCAAAAAATGGAACAACAATTGTCCATAATGCCAATTTCTTCACATATCATTGGTGATTTTATTGTAGTTTCTATGAGGAGATTTAGCCCCTGTTTGACAACCATTATAATGAATTTTTTTGGGGAAAATGAGTTTTGAAATAGTGATTTTTTTTTTTGAGAATGTGTGGTTAAAAAGTTGGAAAAAAGTTGGGTTAATTATTTGAATGGTCGCTGAACTTTGCCTAGTGTTCTTGCTTAATAATTGAACATAAAAATCTATCTTAATGGTCAATGAAATTTGTCCAGTGTTATTACTTCATAATTGAATTTAAAAATATATCTAAATGGTCACTGAACTATGCACCGTGTTAACAATCTATCATTCAAGTGAAAAAAGCTTTTAGGTTCAAAAAATGGGTCGACTTGAGTTATTAATGAGTAATACAGTGCATAGTTCAGTGATCATTGAGATATAATTTTAAGTTCAGTTATTATGTAATAGCATTTGACATAGTTCAATGACTATTGAGATATATTTTAAGTTCGAATCCCTCAAATCGACCATTGTAAAAGAAGAAATCAAAGAAAATGAAGGGAAAAAAGAGGAAACAGAAAATAGACCTACAAATCAAAGAAAAATAGAACTTTTGTAGATGTCCATTATGAAATAAATGGATAACATTAATCTTCAACCGAAAATTTTGCTGCTCAAATGGAGGATATACGATGCTAGATTGTCTCTGAGTAATTTGCAGAGTCATTAAATCCCTGACTAGCATAATCCCTTCATTGGCAACTACCTCTTCATTAACTTGAATTATCGGATTGTTCAGTTCATTGGCCATTTCTTGTTGTTGTGCTTCTCTTGCTTTTCTTTGTTGACGATGAAAAGTGCGTTCGATTTTCGGATCAATTGATATCATTTTACCTATCTCTAACTTTGCATAAAAAGCTTGAAAGAGAGAGTAGGAACGCTAAAATAAATTGACCAAGAAAAATTAAATAGAAGTACAAAAATTTTCAAATTAGTACCAATGTAACCGATGTCGATTTGAGTTTCTTCTTTTTTCCTTTCATTTTCTTTAGTTTCTTCTTTTACTGAGGTCGATTCGAGGGAAAAAATTGTTAGTACTTAATAACTGAATTTAAAATGTATATCAATAGTCACCGAACTATGTCAAGTGCTACTTCTTAATAACCGAGCTTAAAAATACATCTCGATGGTCATTGCACTATGTACAGTGTTACTCATCCATCACTCAAGTTGACGCCGTTTGTTGAATCTAACGGATTTTCACATTTGAGTGATAGATGGATAACATGGTGCATAGTTCGGTAATCATATAGATACATTTTAAGTTCAGTTATGAGTAGTAACACTTAACAAAGTTCAGTGACAATTAAGATACATTTTTTAGTTCAGTTATTAAGTAGTAACACTTGACAAAGTTCAGTGATCATTCAAATAATTAACCCAAAAAAGTTTTGGTTTACGTGCACAATATTTTATTGTAGACATGTGTGATTAAAAATGAGTTTGAGAAAAAAAAGTTCTGTTTTATGGTTGTCAGACAGGGCTTATCCTATTTTTGAACCATTTAATTGTGTATTAGGATTGTGGCTGCATCTAATCCTGATCGCTTCTTCTCGAGGCTAGGAAAGGCTGATAATGGCGGCCAAACTTAGTTGTCTTGCCGTTTGAATGTTAAATGACTGGATTAACGAATTAAGAGAGTACTTATAGCAGAGTATGTGAGATTGCTTGTACTGTTTGCCATCACATCTTTGCAACATGTTCTAAGTGGTGCTTCTCCTTCAGAATGGTTTGTGCTGAAGCTTTGATATGTTTGCCTCATTTAATTCACTGCGGCCTGATCCGTGGCACTATTGTTCGTTTTCTTTGACAGATAACCCCCACCCTGAACTTGGTGTCTTGAACTTGTTTGGTTATTCCTTTTTCGTCACTTAGTCTCTGTATCTTTGTTTGATTGTACCTGTTTAATCTGTTCATCTGCTGGGAGACCAGATATATTTGCACTCTATTAATCCAACGTGGATTAGCAAACTTCCTTGATCGATCTACAAAATTGATTGTTCATTTTTCATGCTTGATATTTTAGTTACTGAATGGATTTATATTTTTACTTATCAAAAAAATTTTAGTTACTGAATGGGTCGATATGATTATACAGAGGTTCAGAAGTTCAGGGAAATTGGCAGAGAAGATGTCTCCGTTGATGAAGTGGTTCAGGATTTACCTTCAGAGTTCGCTTCAATCAATCCAAAATTGTACGAAACAAGCTCCTCTGATCAGTTATACTCTTGCAAGCGTGTGAATAGTTCTTTCCGTTCCTTCCACTCTGAGGTAAATGAAACAGCAAACTTGGACATGGATATTGAACTCGAGGACTTCTTTAAGCAAAAGATTGAAGCTGAGGTTGAATATCTGGTAATATCAAGAAATGCTCAGATGTTGAGAGTTGCTGCAGTGGATCTTATCACCCTTCTGGAAGAGCAAAACGCTAAGGCTTCGCAGCAAACCCGGATGCTGAACGAGCTTAGGGATACTGAAGACGTTCCAAGTGCTGCAGTGGATTCTGAAGACGTTCCAAATGCTGATGAGACTTTGAAGATGCAGAAAAGGGTATGTAAGTACACCTCATGTTTCTTCATACAGTTACTACTGTTGGTAATTGTACTCAGAGTTTTTATTTTCCAGTCATCACCAAATAATGCCGGGATTGTTCCGACTTAAATTTTTTTTTGGAAAGTTTTCCCGTTTTCCCTTTTCTTTGTAAAATAGCGTTTGGACATTTTCAATGTGTAGTTATTTCCTCGAGAAGTAGATGTATAGATCAAGGCATTAGCTACTTCTGTTGGTTTATTTTCATTTCATCGTGCAGTGGCTGATTCTGCTGCATAGAATTTGTTTACTTTAATTTTATTATAACTTTCTTTTTAATATTGTTTTTGGCCTTGTGTTTAAATGAGTTTCAATAGCAGGAGAAGAATGCTGAGCTTATAAGTATTAAAATTAATCTTGGAAAAATTATGTAAATGATTTATTGTCATGTAAGAGACTATATTGGGCATGACTATACACAACTAGCTATGAGAGTCATAAAAAAAGACAATTCTGTCAAATATACTTGTAAATGGTACTCGGACGTAATTCAATAAGTTACGTAATACTAAACTTTACGAGGATCAATCAAATGAATGACTCATTCGGGTATATGCATTGTCCTGACCACATTTAACCAAATTTTTGTAGAAGTGATTTTGTGAAAAAATGATTTTGTTCAATTTGATAATTATGCTTCAATTGCAATTGTGTAACTTTGATCAGATTCGTTACTTGGATTGGTTAAAATCGATAATTTGACAACAAAAATGATTGTTGTCAGATATTTATCTAAAATTGTAGTTATTTCACGTAAGTGATTAATGATTGCGCGTGATGATTATTATCATTTGATTAATGACTCGTCATCAATTTAAACATCGGGCAATTGGACGTAATTATCTAAATTGAAATTAATCGTGTAATTATATGATAAAATAAAATTATTATCTAATTGAAACTAAATGAAAGTATAATTATTGCAAATAAAATTTATTTCCCTTGGTCGAATTTCAAAGATTCAATCCTACTTTGCTTGACTTTGATGTTTTCACTTCAGTTGTGGTTCAAAATAACATTATCTTGAAATTGAAGGATGCTTTTTCATATTTACAATTATTATAATCGACAAAAATTATCATCAAATCAAAACCCACTTTTTTCTTTAAAATTAATAATTTTCTATGCCATCTTCTTCATTTTGGTCTCCCAAAAGTCCCCTTCTCAGACATCTACCCCACTCCACACTCCCCCCACCCCCAAATCTGGGCTCTGGTCCCAAGTTCTCCACTGGATCTCACTTCCCCCACCCCACAAATTTATAGTTCTTAATCAACCTATTCATACAGAATCTATATATATACGCTTTGAGAATCCCTTTTTGAATCGAAAGTATCTGTAAATCATCGAGTTTGGATTTTGTGATTGTAATTGGGTAGAGTTTGATGGCTTCCGCTGGCAATCAGAACCCACCAGGCGGAGGTCAGTTTGATATGCTCAAATTATTGAAACCTTCTACTCCTCCACCACCCAATTCGACTACCACTGCAAACCCTAATCCCCAAAACCCCAATAGTAACATTAATACTAGCACTAGTAACCCTAATTTGATTTCTTCCCCTTTCCCACCCCCGTCAGCCTCTTATCCTCCACCTGCTGGCGGTGTTTCTGGCGGTGGGACATACTCATACGCACCTCAGAATTCCCCCTTTCAGTATTTCAGTCACCTGCCTATGTACAGTACTCCTAATCCTATGCCACCACGCCCGGACTTTGCTAACATGAACCACCAGAGGTCTATGTCTTACCCCACACCCACCCTCCAACCTCAAGTTCAACCTCCTACTAGTCCACACCACCAGAATTTCCAAAACCCCGCAAATTCTCAAAACTCTAACAATCATGGGCCGAGACTGATGGCCTTGTTGAGCGCTCCGCCTTCCACCCTTGATGTCCCTCGGCAGCCTGTCATGCCAATGCCCCCAATCCACCCCACCTCCTCTGCAGGCTCTGATTTCTCGGTCCCCCAGAATGTGAGCTCGTTGCCTTCAGGACCTAACCTTGGGATTCCGCATCAGGGTGCCATGATGCGGATGCCAAGCAGTAAGCTCCCCAAGGGGCGGCATTTGATTGGGGATCGTCTGGTTTATGATATAGACGTGAGGTTGCCTGGAGAGGTGCAGCCTCAACTTGAGGTTACTCCCATTACAAAGTATGGGTCTGATCCAGGTCTCGTTGTGGGCAGGCAGATTGCGGTTAACAAGAGTTATATATGTTACGGGCTTAAGTTGGGCGCCATCCGTGTGTTAAATATTAATACTGCTTTGAGATCATTGCTTAAGGGTCTATCTCAGGTTGGTTTTGCCTTAACAAGTGTGGTTTTGTCCTCTTTATTAATTAGTTGAAATGAGTTATTTACTATTTTATTTAAGTGGTTATATACTTGATTTACTGTGATTGATTTGGATCCCAATGCTCAACCTTGTGGTCAAACTGGCCTTGGGTTTCTATTGTTTTCTACTTGGTGCATTATGTTATTTATGGGCAACTAAAGGGTCATATAATACTTTGTTTTTTCCCTTTACATTGGGTTGAGAAGAAGGCCATCTATTCCAGAGTCTGAATATAACATGGCGAGCTAGTTTCAACTACTTGATAACAACTCGTAAATACAAATATATATTAATGTAGGTTCAGAGGTTCCTATTTTCCAGAATGACTGGAGATTTTTTTCTGCTTTTCTGGAACATATGCCCATATTGGTTGTTTTCTTTTCACAGTGCAATATGTCTTGATACATTAAGTTTTATTATTGCAAGCTCCTATAGTTCTCAACATGAGGTTGTGCACAAATTTTTCACAAATTTTGATAGGATAAATTCATCCCTTTTTTAGTCTGGTGAATATTTTTTTCTGTAATATAATTTGGTATTGATAGGTGGTGAAAACATGGAATTGACATTATAATTTACAATATGCTTGTGCACAGAGTGGTAATTTTGTAGGACATGTCTTCTTTTAGTTGATATTTAAATTGGCATTCATGATTAACTTTAATTTATCTCTGGAGTAATATGTTTTCTTTCAGAGGGTCACAGACATGGATTTCTTTGCTGAGGATGTCCACCTTTTGGCTAGGTAGCCTCCTTTTCAGTTGCTTTTGTGAATCCCATCTTTTGGTTTGTCTAATAGTAACGTGTGTGTTATAGTGCAAGCGTTGATGGCCGGATTTATGTGTGGAAAATTACCGAAGGTCCAGATGAAGAAGACAAGCCTCAAATTACTGGAAAGATTGTCATTGCCATTCATATAACTGGAGAGTGGGAATCCGTTCATCCAAGAGTTTGTTGGCATTGTCATAAACAAGTATGCTAGCTTCCTCTGTAGCACGAATACTTCAATTAGGGTAGCGTGTCCGTATTGGAAAGATTGTCATTGCCATTCATATAACTGGAGAGTGGGAATCTGTTCATCCAAGAGTTTGTTGGACACGAGTCGATATCGACACTTCTCGGACACTTTACCGTAATCATTTTTTTTATATTAGAAATATTATATATTATTAATTTAAAATTATTAGCAAGTAACAAATAGGTACTCATGTTTAAAAGATTTCAACAAGAAAAATTAATAATAAGTATAAAACTAAATTTATACTAAATACATGAAGAATCTTNAAGTATAAAACTAAATTTATACTAAATAAATGAAGAATCTTTAAGAATTTAATCAACGTGTCGATGACGTGTCGTGTCTGTACTTTTTTAAAAAATCGCGTGTCAGACACACGTGTCCGTATCGGTGCTTCATAACTACCTTCCTATATCCACCATTTTTAGTGTACCTCTATTATATTCTTTCCTCTTTTGGCAGGTTATCCATCAATTTATTTGATGAATAATCTCGTATGCTTTCTCATGCAGGAAGTTCTTGTGGTGGGAATTGGCAGGCATGTTTTGAAGATTGACACTACAAAAGTTGGAAAAGGAGAAGTGTTTTCAGCAGAAGAACCCCTCAAATGTCCCATTGATAAGTTAATTCATGGAATTCAATTAGTTGGTAGCCATGATGGAGACGTGACCGACTTGTCCATGTCCCAGTGGATGACCACTCGTTTGGTATCTGCTTCAGTAGATGGCACGGTTCGTCATACCTTTGCCCCTTAAGTCTCTCTGAAACTTGTTTTACGTCAAATCTCGTTTAACATTGGTGGGGAGCAACATATAGTGATTTTTACCTAGTTCCCAAAGCAACTATGTTTAGCTTTTGCTATACATGTGGCTCAGGTAGTTATATCTGCATAGAATTAGCTTCTGACCGATAGAGTTGACTGAAATGAGCTCGAGCATTTAGAGGAATGGAACTTTTAATTTCTTGAAACTTTGTTGTGGAAATCATGAAATTTAAATTTAAGGTGTTGCAATCTGAACAGCAACTTGATGTTTATAAGATGCGAAGAGTAAGAAAATGGGGAAGATAACAAGATCCTAAGCGTAAATTGCATAGCTAGTATAATGATTAGCGCATTACAAATTGTAAAACATGGGTGGTGCATTGCTTTCTACAATTGCATTTTATATCTCAGTTCAACTTTTGGTTGCATTGAGTCACTTAGACATGATGAATTAAACTTCATTACTTATTCTTGCGCAATTCCATTTGCATACAATGTATAACAATTATTCTGCTGTTTGACAGCCTAGAGTTTATTGTTAATTTTGACCTGAGTACGTGTTCTAAGATATGAAGGTGGTGATGCGTAAAAGAACATCTCTGTAGGATATTTAGGCCAATTTTCAGACGTTGTAACTAACTGGTTTGTGAACTTTTTTCTTTCCCCTTCAGCATTTTCTTTTGGCCAGACCTCTAGACGACTGAGGCTTTAGTGATAAAATCTGTTCCAATCATTTTCCTAAATTAATTGTTCTAATTATTTGCATGTTTGCCCATCTTTATTACTGTCTAAAAAAGACCTAGTTTGTTTTGGTTTACACAACATGGTTGTGATCATTCAGATAATGACTATGAAATCTGTTGAAAGATAACCTATTATTCGTGATTTTGAGGAATGGTAACCTGATAACGAGTCAATGTTTGTGGCGCTACTGACATCTCACCAGATCTAAAGTTGATTAGTGTTTCTGATAAAGCAATTGAAATATTTTGACCAAATGGGGCCTAGGTTGTTTTAGAACCAGTGGATAAGTGGTGTGTGTAATTTTCACTGATTTTGGTAGTGTCTCCTGATTTGAATTGCTGGATGACCGAATATTTATATGCATGCTTTGTTTATATCGTGATTCTGCAGACATAATTGGAATATTTGGACAAACAATTTGTAAGCCTTTCACTCAATTCTGCTTGTGATTGCAGATAAAGATTTGGGAAGATCGCAAGTCGCTACCAATTGCAGTTCTCCGGCCACATGACAGCCAACCTGTTAATTCTGTCACGTTTTTGGCTGCTCCTAATCGTCCAGATCACATCATACTCATTACTGGGGTACACATCAGAATATCTTTCTTTTAGTACTTTCTTTAAATATCTGGGGTAAAGTTGTTATGCAATTTAAAATACTCCTATTCTTCAAGGGGCTCCTTTATTGTCAACAGCATTACAAAAGAAAAATTTGCTGTTGCTAATGAATTGATAACTGTATATGTGTCTGCTAGTCTGCTTTCTACTCGTTGACTCATTTAGTCTCTGCTATTTCTGTCTTTTACTATGTCAAATATGCCGTTGCTTCTGAAGTGTCTCTACTGCATTTGACTTCTTAAGGATACGTTCAGGGTCCATTGAATCGGGAACTGAAGACATGGGCATCAGCAAGTGAAGAAGGGTGGTTACTTCCTAGCGAGGCTGAATCATGGCGTTGTACTCAGACATTGGAATTGAAGAGTTCGGCAGAGATGCAAGTAGAAGAAGCTTTCTTTAATCAAGTTGTAGCTTTGTCACACGCTGGTCTTCTTTTGCTGGCAAATGCCAAAAGGAATGCTATATATGCTGTGCACTTGGAATATGGCCCTAACCCAGCAGCAACCCGCATGGATTACATAGCAGAATTCACTGTCACTATGCCAATACTGAGTTTTACTGGGACGAGTGAAGTACTACCTCATGGTGAACAGATTGTTCAAGTGTATTGTGTCCAGACTCAGGCTATTCAGCAGTATGCTTTGGACTTGTCACAATGCCTGCCACCCCCGATGGATAATATGGTGTTTGAGAAGTTGGACTCTAGCATCTCACATGATGCTGGTACTATCGAAGGACTTGCCAATTTGGGGCCTTCTGGTAGTAAATCTACTGAAACACCTTTGTCTATTTCAACAACTAAACCATCTGAGCGTGAAAGTGGCTCAGAGAGTGCATCTTCAGCAAGATACCTCATCAGTGCTGCTTCTACTGAGTCACACACCTTACAAGAGTTCTCTACTCCGAATATTGAAATCAAACAAGTTCCTTTATCTGCAGTGACTAATATTCCTAGTGTTTCTTCCATTGCTTCACCTCCACTTCCTCTGAGCCCCAGGTTGTCCAGGGAACTTTCTGGTTTTAGAAGTCCGTCAAGCCGCATTGAGCCTGTTCCAGTGGTGAATGATCGTGATGCAGATCCTAAAGTTGTTGAATATTCAGTTGACAGACAAATGGATGCTGTTCATGCAAACTCGTCTGATGCTACTTTAATGGATGGTGATTCGATAAATGATGAAAATAAAATTTCTCAAGATGATATTTCCTCATCTCTCGAGCATCATAGTAAGTTTAAGCACCCCACTCATCTGGTAACTCCTTCCGAGATATTGATGGCCAGTTCATCTTCTGAAGTGAACCGTGCTAGTGAACCCAGAAGCGATCCTGAACTAAACATTCAGGATGTGCTAATTAGCAATGATACTAGAAATGTGGAGGTGGAGGTCAAGGTTGTAGGTGATACGATATTTGGTCAAAATAACGATATTGGGTCACAAGAAGAACTTCACAATTTTGGGTCAGAGAACAAGGAGAAATCCTTTTATTCTCAAGCCTCTGATCTAGGAATTGACATGGCTCGAGAATGTCAAACATTACCCGCTGATACTTATATAGTAGAGGAAACTAGGCAGTTAGATGGGACTGGTGGAAGTGAGTCGGGGACCCAACCTTCAAGTCCAGATGAAGAAGTCAATGACTCTACAAAGGAAGTATCTAAGAAGGTTATCGATTCGTCATTACCTATGCCAGTTCAACAACCACCTGTACCAAGTACAAAAGGGAAAAAGCATAAGGGAAAAAGTGCTCAAGGATCAAGCCCATCTTCACCATTACCTGGTGCTTTCAATTCAACAGATTCTTCTAATGAACCAGGCATCAACTCAAGTAATCCTTCTGTAGAAACTGCATTTGCACAAATTTTGTCCATGCAAGAGATGCTTAATCAGGTGATTTAATTGGAGCTTATTTCTCGAACTTTGTGTCTGTACTTACTCTTCACCGTATATAAACATAATTGCATAATTATACTTGGGACTCATGTTAGTTATTTCTTACAACAAGTATACCAAAGGGATGTATTTGATGAATACATCATTCTTCATACTTGGGTCTTTCGGATCTGTTATATCCTCTTTGACCTCGTAGTTTGTTTGGTCTAGAAAGTATGAATATTTTGTTTGAATTGTCTATTTCTGCAATTGGTTTACTTATCATTGTTCTGGGCTTAAGTAATTTCGTTCTCCTGAAATCAGGTTTTATTTTTGAACAGAAATTTTGTTTTTCTTCCCGAGAAATTCTATGCAATCCTTTGGCCAGACCCCATTCTTGTCATAGTGCCATTTCATTTTTAGTGGGTGTTTGGCCCCCATTTTTTAGGAAGAATTAGTTTTTGAATAGTGATTGACGGGAGAATGTGTGGTGGAAAAGTGATGAAAAGTTTTAGATTTGTGTGTAATATTATTTTATTTGGAGAATGTGTGGTTGAAAATGATTACCGTAGAAAAATGAATGGGAAAAAAGGAGAAAGAATGGGGCTCAAACATGGGCTTAATTTGTTGTCTTACATTGAGCCAATTGCAGACCCAAGATTACTGGGATTGGTCTCTCTCTCTTTTATTTTTATTTTTTGAGCCAATTATCGGTTGTGCATCACATATCATATATGCTGGTATTTATTAGCAACTAAAATAAATTGTCCACGACGTGTTTTGTTGTCTGTGAACAAATGCATACCCACCCTTACTCTCTTTTTTATCAGCTTGTTGCTACACAAAAAGAGATGCAGAAGCAGATGACAGGGATGGTTGCTGTCCCAGTTACCAAAGAAGGCAGAAGACTTGAGGCGGCTCTGGGACGGAGGATGGAGAAGGTTGTCGAGGCCAATGCTGATGCTATGTGGGCTCGATTTCAGGAAGAGATTGCAAAACAGGAAAAGGCATCACGGGATGGTACACAGCAACTAACAAATATGATAAATAATTGCTTAAACAAGGACTTGCCATCAATTGTAGAGAAAACTGTCAAGAAAGAACTAACGGCAGTTGGACAAGCTGTAGCACGCACAGTTATCCCCTCTATCGAGAAAACAGTATCCACATCAATCACAGAGGCCTTCCAGGTTAGAATTTCCCATTTTCTATCTTCGTTTGACTGTCTTCTATTGTTATCTCATGGCAGTCCAGATCCTAATGGATTTCATGTGATCAGAAAGGAGTGAGTGATAAAGCTGTGAATCAACTGGAGAAATCGGTCAGCTCTAAACTTGAAGCCACAGTTGCTAGGCAAATCCAAACCCAATTCCAAACTTCTGGCAAGCAAGCACTTCAGGTAAAGAGATAGGTAGAAAAATAGAAATTTGATTCAAGCTTTGGAAAATATATAATTTACTTCCTGTACCATATTTAGGGAAGGAATTTGAAACAACACTTTGATATCTGTTGTCACGTTGTTGAGCTTTAAACTTTTGTATTTCCTTTTTTGCTCTCGATGAAATGACGTGAGGCAAAGAACATGTAGAAATAATGATGGCTTTTGTTTGCAATGTGTCGTTTTGTTGAGGGTATAACTGAGAAGTCTGATAAATAAATAGTTGTGCGTTGTGAAACGAAGCCCTTATTTGGGTACATTCCACATTGGAAAGAGTAGGACAACAATTAAAGTGATTAAATTAACTTTGAATGCTTGTAGAAAGACTTAAAATTATTTTTTAGAATTGCTTCTTTTGTGTTATCAGTTGTACTTTATCTGTATCTTCGTGTGCGGGCTCACAATACCTACCTTCCACACTCTTTGAGATGGAAAGAAGAATTTCATTATATATGCAGCAATCCTGCTGCAACGACATTTCTTGAGACCGATCCCTGTGGGTTTTAACACTGTAATAACCGAATTCCTTTTGGAGATAAAAATCAGCCCATTCCTTCTGTTGGCACTATATTTTAATAATTCCATTTGAATCAGAATTTCATAGTTTCTTTGGTTTTTTATTTAATCGAGTGAGCAAAACTTCCTGATTTTACATGATAATTTGGTAAACCTCCACTGCCTTGCACCTCATAAGAATTGGTAATTGGATGTGGATGTGGCTAGTGTGGCCAAATGAATCTGGACAACTTTGATTGATATACTTTATTTTTAATTTGTAATGCAGGAAGCTTTGAAATCCAGTTTGGAAGCTTCTGTGGTACCTGCTTTTGAGATGTCATGCAGAGCAATGTTTGAGCAAGTTGATGCTGCTTTTCAGAAAGGAATAACTGAACATACAGCCGCAGCTCAGCAACATTTTGAGACTTCACATTCACCATTGGCAATTGCTCTAAGGGTACATAATTTAGCTGATTCTGTATCTTTCTTTCTCTTGCTAATTGAAGTTGATTACCCAATCAGTTAGTCAATTGTCCTGGTGGTTTCTTTAATTTGTTATCCATATACCCCACTAATTCCCTCTACTTATTTTAGGATGCTATTAGTTCAGCATCGGCCATGAATACTCTAGGCAGTGATTTACTTGACGGTCAAAGAAAGTTGTTAGCACTTGCTGTTGCTGGAGCCAATTCCAAAGCACCAAATCCGTTGCTTAGCCAACTCAGTAACGGACCCTTGGGTGGTCTCCATGAGAAGGTCTTCTCTATTCTCCTTGTTTGTTTTTTGGTAAAATCTGGAATGATAGTTCTGTTTTCTGCTCTCAAAAGTATTTATCGTTACTCTGCATTCTGAATTGATAAGTTCCTGTTTCAATAGCTTGAGGTACCTCTTGATCCAACGAAAGAGCTTTCTAGATTGATCGCCGAGCGTAAATACGAGGAGGCTTTCACTGCAGCCCTGCAAAGGAGTGATGTTTCTATTGTATCGTGGTTATGCTCTCAGGTAGGTTCTACTATGTTGTTGTCTAAGGCTCAGATATGCTTTTATGAATTGTGCTTTGCATTGCTTTGTTAAGATCCGGATTTTTTTTCCCATGCCTGATATATTGAGAACAAAATTGTTGAGTAGATTAATGAATGAAATGTTACCATTCTTAATTAGATTTCAGACATGGTTAATCATATGTACATCGCATTGTCATTTGATGAATACTAAGGTAAATTTATGTCATGCGAAAAGGGTTTTTTAGTTTAATTTTGAAACTGGTGACAGTGCTTGCTGAATTCTTTCCGGGTTTGGGTTTGACTTTTAGTGGAGATTGTGGAACAGAAGTGGACTTCAAACAAATTCCTCCATTTTATTCTTTGGGAATATGAAATTAAATCCCTTCTTTGAATAGTGCATTCCTACATTTAAAAGTCAAATTCACATCTTATTTTTGTGGAAATTCAGCCCCTGTTTGACAAACATTATAATGAGTTTCTTTTTTTTTTTAATGGGAAAGTGAATTTTGGAATAGTGATTTTTTTAGAGAATGTGTGGTTAAAAAGTAAGAAAAAGTTTTGGGTTTACATGCAGAATATTTTACGATGAGAATGTGGTTGAAAATGAGTTTGAGATAAAAAGAGTTCTATTTAAATGGTTGTAAAACAGGGCTCAGTATGTTTTGTATTTTACTGGTTGCAATCCCGTATTGCTTTCTTGTTTTTCGAAGTTCTGTTTATTTGTTAGTTTCATGCCTCAGTGCTCATTTTCTGTTCTACCAGGTTGATTTACCTGGAATTTTATCGATAAATCCCCTCCCTCTGAGCCAAGGTGTTCTCCTCTCTCTTCTGCAACAATTGTCTTGTGATATTAGCAAAGAGACACCTCGCAAACTAACATGGATGATGGAGGTTCTATCTGCCATAAATCCAACCGACCCAATGATTGTAGTGCACGTCCGTCCCATATTCGAGCAAGTATATCAAGTATTGAACCACCATCGCAACCTTCCAACCACTAATGGCCCTGAGCTTGCCAACATTCGCCTGATCATGCATGTCATAAACTCTATGCTCATGACCACTAAATGATTACAAGTAAAAGCACCGTGGTAAAAGAAATACCCAGGACTTGTGATGAAATCGAAATGTTTGTACAAAATTCTCAATAGTTTCAAGACGAGGGTATAAGATGTGTAAAGTTGAACTTTCTTTTCCGATTTCTTTGGTTTTTCCCTTTCTTTCTTGAAATGTGTAGAAGTTTGAGTGGACTTTTGGGTTTTTTTCTGTTAGTAATTTGTTTGGATAATGTGCAGTTTTGTACGTGTATAACTTGTTCTTTTGCAATTTTATATGAAGTTGTGTTTTCCCCTCATTTTACAGAATTGCTTTGTGCACTTTCCACTGTGTTTGCTGAATTTGAGGATAAAGTAGGTTCATGTCTGGCTCCCATTTCTTAAAATTTGTGTTTTTTTTTCCTTTAAATTTGTTTTCAGCTGTATATTGTATTGGATAAATAACTTTCATCATTTTTTTGTCAAAATCAATTAAAAATTAATTTTTATCAAAACCAAACAAGGGCTAAAAGTAATTGTAATGGCGGGTATTGATTGTGGTGGTGGAGCGGTGAGGATTTTTGGGGCGGGTTGAGGAAGTTGGTGATATTTTTTCATTTCTTCGGTTTATTTTTCTTATTTATTTTTTGATTTATATCGTTATTTTTCAATTTCTATTTTGCCAAGATGGATGTTAAGGGCTCGTTTGGTAATATTTTAGCTTATGGTAGAATAACTGTCTGATGAAGCTACTTTAGACAGAGTAATATTTATTTTTGAAGTTTCGACAAATAAAAATATCCATTTTAAATCGTGTTTGATGTATATTAATGAGGAAATAATATTTTAAATAGTGATATGATGGAAAATATGTGGTTAAAAAGTAAGGAAAAATTATTGATTTGATGAGAAATATTATTTTATTAAAGAATGTGTGGTTGAAAATGAGTTTTAGAAGAGTGTATTTTGAAAGAATGTGTAACAAACAAGCTAACATTTACTTTTGAGTTTTTAAACTTAGCCAAACATGTGGGAAATTCGGACACGTAGGACAAAGACATGCACAGAATGACAGAGCTTAAAGAATTAATTTTTGTATTTTTTTCCCCTCGTATAGAGTGGAATCTTCTTGATCAAAATAAAAAATCGGATGAAATAATTTTTTGTAAATATTTATGAAAACTAACTCAATTTTCTCTACCACGGAAATACACATTGTTTCTTATCGATTCAATCATTCTTGCAGCAGTTACGTGTAGCTGTAAGCATACTGCTCTGAAACTCCAAAAACCAAAAAAAAAAAATCTTGAAAACAAGAAAATGGTTGCCGGTGAAGAAGCTGATATATTTCTGTCAGACAGAAATTTGAGTGTTTCCGGCAATTTTATGCTCACTGATATTCATGACAACATTTTGTTAACTCCGGCGGAAACCCACAATGGGACTTTCGTTGGGGTTAAATCTAATCAGATTGGAAGCCGCCTGGTTTTTCCGATTGGAAAACTCGAGTAAGTTTTGTTTATTTATTTCTAGTAAAAATGGTCAGATTTTATGTCCTTGGAGAAGTTAGTAGAGCTAGCCTTTAAACTTCACTCGACTTGTAAAAATGGATGTTGCCCAAATAGTAATTAAAGACTTTTGTCATTTGTTTAATGGTGATACATCTGTAGATAGAATAAAAGAATAAATAATGATTTAATATTTCAAGGATATTGAACCACTTCGTCTAAAAGTTTAAGCAAGAGGTGGTGACAATACTTGGAATCAGGTTCTACGAGGCTCTGATGAACCACCTAGTATAAAAGCTTGAGAAAGGAGTCACATTTAAAAGCTATATTCAATAAGAGATGTACAATTATGCCATAAATAAAGTGCGTGTTTAAGGGACTGATCCTCTTTCCAATGGAGTTATAAACCTACAGCAAGTCTTACTTTACCAATAAGTCTTGTTCGTACTCCTTTGAAATGGTGTATACTCTAATAGAAAATGTTACAACCACATTAGGTAGAACTCACCATTAAAACTAGTAATAAATGGAGAGTGTGAAAGTGGTTAAAGTTTAAAAATCTAGACTTAGCAATGTGGGATTCGGTAATATTGTGTTGATGGGAGGCGATGTTGATTTGCAGGGGATTAAGATTTATGTGTCTTTATCGTTTCAAGTTGTGGTGGATGACACAATGGATGGGAATGTGTGGCCAAGATATACCTAATGAGACACAGTTTTTGATGTTGGAAGTACCAAACACTAATCATTTTGGAGAAGAAACTGAAGGCGGGGAAAACCAATCTCAATCAGTGTTTTACGCTGTTTTCTTGCCCATTCTTGAGGGCGATTTCAGGGCTGTTCTGCAGGGGAATGCCAACAATGAATTGGAGATTTGCTTGGAAAGTGGTACAACGTTAATATTTGAAATATAATAATTCATAAATTTTTAAAAACATGTAGTCAAGGTTTCTGTTGTTGCTATTTGCAGGGGATCCTGCGGTGCAAGAATTTGAAGGGAAACATCTGGTTTATGTGGCTGCTGGGTCCGATCCGTATGATGTCATTGCAAATGCAGTCAAGTACGTTCAATTCAGTCTTCATTTTGATATCTGATTTAATTCAAAGTTTCCTTGACATAGGATTTTGAGATTAGACAATGACAAACTAACCTTCATTCACAATAAATTTGAGATAGACTGCATGAATCTTTATTTGCGACTTCGGTTGGTTGCAACATACTGTTTGTATGGAGCTCCCCGACAATATGTGTATTATACAATTAATGTTATAAGATTATGAGATAAAAAATGTAGATATATTATTTAGATTCCTTTGTTTGGTATAATCTCGTTAATCCCATAATTAAGTTCTTGGTCCCTTACTCATTAGTAGTATTGGAATTTATATTCTTTTGATCTAACTAAAAGGGCTTTTACACTTATTCTAGTATGCCAATTTGTTCAAAAGTAAAAAAACCATAAAATTTTTTAAGATCGAGTGTATTTTTGCAGTTCAACTGAATTTTCTTAAGCAGCTTGGCTAGTCAACATTCAACTATTTTGATTCGATATTGCATCATTTTTTGTTATAACAAAAATGTTCGTGTTTTCCCTCGTGCAAAAATATAAGTTGAAGTTTAATGAAATTATTGCTGCTGAACAGGTCTTTGGAAACACATATGGGCACATTCTGCCACCGTGACAAAAAGGAGGTACCAAAATACTAGTTCTAGAGAAAAGCTATTTCTTTGATTCACCGACTTATGGATACATTTCGACATTTGCATTCTAATAACTTTGTTCTTCTTAATAATCAGATGCCCGACTTGTTGAATTGGTTTGGATGGTGCACTTGGGATGCTTTTTATACTGATGTCACTGCCGAGGGGGTGAAACAAGGATTAGAAAGGTATTCAATGTTCCTACCTATTTATTTGAATGTTGTTGAGTATCGAGGGACTTTTCTGTTAAACCAGACCCAATCTTATTATTCAATAATGGGAAAGGACTACAAGAGGATAATATAAAGTGTAAAACCCTAAACTATCATTAATAGAAGAAAAATGCCAAACTACCCCTTAATAGAGAAACATAATTTACTAAAATCTAACAATTTGCAGTAGAACACGAGCATGACTAGTATTGCTTTCTTGCAGTTTGGAGAAAGGTGGAGCTTCACCAAAGTTTGTAATTATAGATGATGGATGGCAATCAGTCTGTATGGATACCACCAGTGTCGAAGCCAAATTTGACGACACTGCCAAGTAAGCATCTTATTCAAAATTTTATTTGGAATGTGTTTGCATCTTACCTATTAGCAGCTGAAAATGAGTATTCTTTTGTTTCCAGCTTTTCAAATCGGTTAATTCATATTAAAGAAAACCACAAATTTCAGAAAGATGGTGGAGAGGGTTCTGAGGTGGATGATCAGTCAATAGGATTTCACCAAATTGTTACTGAGATCAAAGACCAATTTTCTTTGAAGTAAAGCATTTATAAGTAAAATTTCAGATTATTCTTGTTGAAATAATTTAAGCTTGGCACTTGTGCCATTACGTTTTATTTTTCTTGATTTTGAAGGTATGTTTATGTGTGGCATGCAATAGTAGGGTACTGGGGAGGTGTTATGCCCGGTGTAGCTGAAATGGAACAGTACGAACCCACGAGGGTAAACCCCATTCCATCCCCTGGGGTTGAGTCCAATGGCATTTGTTTCGTTTTAAGAAGCATTACGAAAAACCGGGTTTGCCTTGTGAACCCAGAGAAAGTTTACTCCTTCTACAATGACCTGCACTCTTACCTAGCTTCTGTCGGCGTAGATGGGGTTAAAGTAGATAATCAAAGCATACTAGAAACTCTAGGAGCTGGCAATGGTGGAAGAGTGAAACTTGCAAGGAAATACCATGAAGCATTAGAGACGTCCGTCTCTAAGAACTTCCCGAATAATGAAATTATTTCTTGTATGAGTCACAGCACGGATGCCTTGTACAGGTAGAGAATTCTTCCACGTCCCCGCTTATTGTATGATTTGTAGGAAAGAATGGATAGCATTGGATGGTACTGTATTATTGTATGATTTGTAGGAAAGAATGGATAGCATTGGATGGTACTGTATGGTTTTGCGTACCAAATATGCAATTGAAAATCTTGTGGCTTCGTAATACTAAGTTTCTGATCCATTTAATTCTAGATATCTTTAACTTGATTGTGGCAGTGCAAAGCAAGCCGCTGTTATTAGGGCGTCTGATGATTTCTTTCCAAGAGATCCAGCATCACACACAATACATATCGCATCAGTTGCTTACAACACCTTTTTCATTGGCGAGTTTATGCAGCCTGACTGGGACATGTTTCATGTGAATCTGCCTTCTTATTTTCAATTTCCTTTCTTTAAATCTAGCCAATAATTCTTCATTCTTTGTGCCTGAAATATTTGTTATAATTCTAAATTATTAGATGTTAACTTAAGAAATGCTTTCGTCTTGCAGAGCTTGCACCCCATGGCTGAGTACCATGGAGCAGCTCGTGCTGTTGGAGGTTGTTCAATCTACGTCAGGTGCTCTTTTATGATTCAAAATTTACAATTGTGGCAGGCACATTTTGTCATACTATAATATTTATGAATTATAAAACCCTATATCGTGCAGTGACAAACCCGGGCACCACGATTTCTTCGTCTTGAAGAAACTTGTACTCCCCGATGGTTCCACACTGAGGGCCAAACTTCCCGGGAGACCAACTAGAGATTGCTTGTTTTCCGATCCTACTAGAGATGGAAAAAGGTATGACATAGAAAGATCTTAAGCATTCTCAAAACTCCTCTTGTCGTGTTTGATAGACAAGACTGGAAAGCAATGGACAGTATTAAGTTCATTATACTGAGCATTTTTGGCTGTCTTATAACAACTTATGGACTTCGTTGCAGTCTTCTGAAAATTTGGAATATGAATGACTTCACCGGAATTCTTGGGGTATTTAATTGCCAAGGAGCTGCATGGTGTCGAGTTAGTACGAAGAATCTCGTCCACAACGAACAGCCAGGCGCAGTGTCCTGCACCATCCAAGCTAAGGATGTTCATTATCTGACCAACATTGCTGAGCATGGATGGACCGGAGATACTATTGTGTATTCGCATAGAGGTGGTAAGTTTTGTTTGCTCGACACTTAATACCGATATTGTAACAACCACGGACTTTCCCCATCTTCCCCTTTTTCATTCGGTTGGCTCAGGGGTTATTCATGCATTTTACTTATCAGTACAGCCCTCTAGGGGTTGGGCCCCAAAGTGGATTTATTCTCGTCCTTAGCGAATTGAACACAAGACCTCTCCGATGCAACTTGCCCAATTTGGTCCACTGAGTTCTTGTTGATGCCAATTGCAGGGAACGTGCTTTATCTTCCAAAGAACAAATCCCTACCGATTCAACTTCAAGCTCGAGAATATGAAGTCTTCACAGTTGTTCCAATCAAACGGTTATCTAATGGGGCTGCTTTTGCTCCAATAGGTCTCCTCAAGATGTTCAATTCTGGTGGAGCAATTACAGAACTAAACTATGGATCCCCGGAAACTGGAATTATTAACATTAAGGTTCGTGGTTGTGGCGTCTTTGGGGCCTATTCATCAGTCAGACCTGAAAGAATATTAATTGATATGAAAGAAGAGAAGTTTGATTATGAAGAAAAGTCTGGTTTGATCAACCTGAATTTAAAGGTTCCAGAGAAAGAATTGTATCAATGGAACTTGACAATTGAGCTTTGAAGAAATTCTATGCATCTACTTTCTAAGCAATATAAAGGCCTGCTCGGATTCTTGTACTAGTGAATCCTCGAGCATATTTGTTATGCAGCACTAGACTGCACTGGAAGCATAGTTTTATCATAATTTTTTGTAGTGCCCAATGTTATCTAATGTGATGGCGATGCATGGATTAACAAGTTACTATACAAAATATCAGTGTTCGGGCAAAATGTTGCGCTTCATGTTTAGACCCTTTTTTTTTCCTTCAATTCCTATTCGGCTGAATTCTTTTCCTCCTCTTTTTCGTCTTCCCTTGGTGCATTTTATTAGTTTTTGTCTTCATTTTTTCAAGTGTCTTTTATTTGACTTCAGTTTATTAATATCTTTTTATGTTTTTCATTAAAAAAAATATTTTGACTTTAATTTCAAAATTTTAAAAAATTTTATCTGTACAAAAATTAAAAATGATTTTATCTAAATAGTTAAATAAGATTTAAGTTATGGTGCTATCTACATTATTTAATTATGATCTTGAGATTCATTATTTTATATCATCAAAACCGTTGCGTTTTTTATATCGCAAGTATACGATATCGTAACAAGTAATACATTGGAACTTTGGGGTCGAATTATCGTTCTCACGAAGACTATACTGAGAACTTAATCTAATTTTTCTAACTCATATTTGACAAAAAAAAAAATAATAATAATTATGATGACTGTAATTTTTTTTTATAATTATTTTTAACTAATGGAAAATATAAAATGACTGTAAACAATTAATAATTGAATAAACAAATATGTGATAAATATTAGAGAATAATAATTTCATCTATTGATCACCCCTTTATTCTCAATTCAAGATTCATAATCTAATATAGTGTTCAATCAAATTCTTCTATTTTATTCAATTTACCCCTCTCGAGTCTCATTGAGCCTATTTAACTAATTCAATTTCATATCTCTATTCGAATCAATTTTAGTTAAACGAAACACTAGTTCTAAGAACTCATATTATGATTGCAATAATTAATATAGGTATCTTTAGAAGTTATACTAATTTACCGAATTTTATTATATAGTCTAAATCTCAAACTCACCTCACGATTCGTAAGAGACTCATATAATCATCAAATTATTGATCAGATAATTTAATGCATTAAACTCATAATAAAATCAACACATATATATAATTTGAGTCTCCAATTAAAATTTTCAATATAAGTTTATTGAGACCCATTTAACTCGAACACATTTAATAGGGAACAATACATAAATCTTACATATTAAAATCACATTTCAAAATTAACAAACTTGTTAAATTATTTCAAAATTCAGGTGTTAATTTCAATTAAACCCCACCCACCCACTAACCAACCAAAAATTTCCCAAATTCAAATATGAAAATCACACCATCCCAAGGACCCACACCAAAGGACTCCACCCCCACATACAACCACACCTTCCAAAGAATTTTCAGAAATTAAAAACTGAAAATCACACCCCCAATCCATAGATCCACCTACCCCAACCTTACATTGCAAAAAATTTTCAAAAATTAAAAATATCAAGTCACTGACGTGTCATCTGTGACTAATTGTGATCAAATTTGTATTCAATGCGATTATGTGTGACCAAATCAATCTTAATTGTAACGGCATGTGATCAAGTGACAACCAGTCCCAATTAACACATAATTGGTCACAGCCAGTCACAATCAGTCACAGAATTGGTCACAATTGGTCACCACAAACAAATCTGCGTATACCACGAACAAGTTGATTTGGAAAAATCGGATCCGATTTTTCAGTTTACAATTAATCGGCCGGTTTAACGATTTATTTGACGATTTTCAATTTTTTATTTAATGTATGATGAATTGATACCAACATTGATTTTTTTCCTAATTTTTATTAATTTCAAATCGGATTATCGGATCGGATATCTGATAACATAGCAAATCAAATCTGGATTTAACAACAAATATCTGTTGGATTATCGGATTGGATCAGATCGGATATAGGGAGATCTGATTCATATCCGATTCACTTACAGCCCTAACTACGATGGTATATGACCAAGTCACAACCGATCACAATTAACACAGAATTGGTTGCAACCAGTCACAATAAACACATATTTTCGATCACAATTAACACAGATTGGTTGCAACCAGTTACAATAAACACATATTTGGTCATATAGGGTCACCACAAACAAATATGCATACACCGCATATCAGCATCACAATCCACCACCAGTCACCAGCACTCTCACCTTCATCTAAAATTCACAACCATAAATACTACATTTATATCAAATTCACAACAACAATCATCACGACCATCACTTCCACTAACACCTTCAATAAACACTAATTAGCACATCCGTACTAGCAAATGTAGATCAACAGAACTGCAAATTTACACTACCCACGGATCTATACACCACACTCACAGCTACCATCAGAGGCGATAATTCACTGTCATGCTCCACTGCAATAGCTCTGATTGGGGCCAAAGCTTCACATTCCGATCCTAATGAGTTGCTGTGTTAGCACCACCACCAGCTCAGCCACTCCAAATTCTCTCATTTTCAAATTCAAAAGTAACAGAAAATGCTCCAATAAATCTCCATGAACTGCAAGCCATTGTTAGAAGAGGAAACGGTGAAAGAAGCCTGCCGAAGTCAACGCAAAAGTTCAGGAATCGATCATTTTTTAACGAAGTAAAGCGGGATAGATTAGTGAGGAAATCTCCAGTAAGAAGGCCCGAGTTATCACCAGTTCGAGTTGGGTCCGGAATGGAGGGTCCGATAGTTGTAGTTTTTGTCGTTGCTTCTACAAGCAGCGACGTCTCAAGCTTCTTCGTGGCCGATATGTTGTTTCCTTTGACGGTCGGTGATACTTCTCTGCACTGAAAAGGGAAATGGTTGGATGAGTGGTGGTAGAGAGAGCGACAATGAAAGAGAATGGATAGAGAGAAGAAAGAGAGGTAAATATATTTAGGGTTTGGATTTGGGAATGAAATGGGGTGGAATGGGTGGTGGGTACATAGATTAGGTTAGTCATGTAAAGATGGGCGGGCCAAAATATATTTAGGGTTTGGATTTGGGAATGAAATGGGGTGGAATGGGTGGTGGGTACATAGATTAGGTTAGTCATGTAAAGATGGGCGAGCAACCCAAGCCCACCTGTAGGCGAATCGGCCCGCGATTCAGCCCATGAACCGTGTGGGTCAAATCGTAGGTCGCCCGCACCTTGAACCGGTCTGAGTCGGTTCAAGGTGAAATGGGCCAGTAGTTAACCGCTGGCCCGTTTAAAAAAAAAAAATAAAAAAAAAATAAAATAACTTAACATATGCGCTTGCAGCTTGTCCGTTTTGAATATATATATTATTATTTTTTTTTTTTCTTGGTAATAACGGTAAAAAAAATTTTTTTTGTATAAATTGTGGTATTGTGAAGTGAAAATTCTAAACTCTCACAATCTACAATTACAAGCTCCAAAATTTGAAATACATATTTTCTTGTTCTCTCTTAATATTTTCAGCAAATATTTTTCATATTTAGTATTTTGTGCTTTCTTTTCATCTTATTGACTTATTATTTCAAAAAATTTTGTTGAAAATTTATGGATTCTCGCGACTTTTTTTTTTTTCAAGAAATGTCAATTTACATGATAATTATTCTTCAATAAATTTGGAAGATGATAATGATCCAAATACTGGATCTTCTCAAGAGCAAAAAAATAAAAAGCACACATCTGATGTTTGAAAAATTTTTACAGTGGATGAACCAAATAAAAGAGTAATATGCACTATTTGCAAAAAGAGTTATGCATGGGTTAAAGGTCAAGGCACGGGCACATTACGAAGATACAAAGATAAACACATGAATGAAAGAGGGCATTTGGATACTAAACAAGCTCAAATTACTTCTTTTACTAATACCAGTGGAACAGTTATTTTTTCTAATTTTTGTTATTCGCAGGATTGAATAAGAGTAGGAATGTCTGAATTTTTGACAGCAAGCGAGATGCCTTTCACTTTCGCAGAAGATCGATACTTTGAGGAGTTTATGCAAAAGTATGTTCAATTCGCTTATCGTTGTGTAAGTAGAAATACTGCTCGCTCAGATATCTTGAAATTATTTCATACAATGACTGAA